CCCCCCCCCCCCCCCCGTCTACATCGATAAACGTCGCTCTCGAACAGATCTGCTCAAATAAAACGTGAAACTGGGTTGGTCGTTAGCGACTCGTAGCCGGCTTGTTTCCTCATTAACTTGGCCGAGCAATTAAAAGACGCCGGCGACTTAGCCGATCGACCGACCTGAATTCTAATAAAAAGGAACGCCGATTGTACCAATCGAATCGATCATTTAACGCGGTGACGAATAATAAATTCGGGGGAAAGAGCTGATAAATGTTTTTTTAATTTGATACCCACTTCACGGCTGGAAGGGGGTATTTTAACGCGGGAATTAAAAATTAATTCGAGAGACGTAATGTAGAGAGAAATCTATGTAGAAATATTCATTAGGCAGTAAATCGGATACGGAATAAGTCGTCAAAGTTGATACGCAGTATGTAATGACATTCAGAGAACAGAGGGGCCGTGTTGGAAAAGGCCGCGATAATTCATCATTTGCGACATTACAAACGCATTATGTTCGAGATCCTTCATCAAAGCCCTAGCCGGATAACAAACACCATGGATGATTATAATTGATATTCATAAGCGACAACTAACGAAACGCTAATTAATTTCGCGAGAACATGCTCCAAGGCGTCCATAATTATCGATTATGTTGAAATATATGTCTGCCTGTGCGAAGCGGAATTAGTGAGAGCAATGTTAATTAACGACGAAGAAAAGTGTGGAAATAATGAAACGTTTATCTGTCCGGATTAAAAGATAATCAAAATCAAAGAGATCTGAGAAGTACGTATATAATATTCATTCCTAACAAATACCTCGTATATAATACATATATGTGACAAATATCCGCGATCCCGTTGAAAACATCACGCGTCCTAAATACAATTAATTTCAATGTAACTTGATTTCATTAGTTGCTTTCAACGCTCGCGAAATATTTTTCGGTCAGAAAATGTTCGAGGACTTCTCTCTCTCTTTCTCTCCTCCTCCTCGGGCAATGCTACAATATTCCGTGCACTTGATCAACAGGTACGCCGACAGGGAAATATCGGACCAATTAAAGCAATTACTTCATTACGCAGGTGCTCTTCGGGTAACTTTCACCTGAGCCCTCGGGTGAAAATTTCATTTCGAGCCCCGTCGAACGACCATCCAAAGTATTCTTCTGTCTCGAAGCCTTTTCACGGTATTCGACGCGCGTGATTTTAATCTGCTCGAAAAGAGAAGAAAAAAGAAAGAAAGGAAAAAGAAAAGGAAAAGAACGATTTTAATAGCTTACCAACGTATCTTCGGTAGACGGAAGTGTTAGCACAGTCCGGAAGTTTCTCGTATGGTAATTCAGGACGGCAGAGAGAATCTCATTTGATCCGCGAACATCGTGCCGCCTTTGTGTGTGTGTGTGTGCGCGCGCACGAAGCTTACGCGTTAACAAGATTTAGATCACCGCATAATCCATGTATAATAGCCGCCTGAACTAGATCGGCTACTATCGAGCAAACTATTCAGCATTGCTGATTACAAGATTGTCATCGATACCAGCGAGTTAATGTGTCCGTTGAGGAAATTTCGGACACCGTTAGCAGAGACAATGGCATTCGAAACTGTACAAGTATGAAAGATAATTGAAGATCTTCGACGATCGTTGAGAATTCTTGACGAGAATTCTACGCTTTTCGAGCGACACACAACAAGAGATATACTTGAATTTTTATATCCCTTTGTTGTTGTCTCGAGTGAGAAGCGTTGAGCGTTGGGCTTTGATATCAAAGATGAAACGGCGAGGTAATCCTCGACGATCTTCGAACAAGATTCGGCAGCACAATTGGGATTTGGCGCGGATCGGAGTAACGTTTAAGTGATAAACCTGGACGTAATGTGCTTTGAGAGCAGACTCCAGGGATGATGGCTAATTAAATTAAGTACTATCGATCCGGTTGCGCAATAAACGGCTCGCAATTCCCAAATAGGTTTGCATAAATAATCGACTTACGTCGCGTTTATCGGCGGATAAACCGCGGTTAGCTGCTCGCATTCGTCGATCGGGAATTTTGGCTGGAAATCGGGGAAATTTTGATAGCCAAAGCTCCACGTTTCGCGAATGACGGCGATTTAGAGTGAATTCTTTTTATTCCAGGACATCGATTACGAGGGATTTCGCAAATTTCTCGACAGCTACCTCGAGGTATCAACCCCCGACGAACTCTCGCGACATCTTTTCTTGTCGTTCGTTAAGAAGACGCCACGAGTCGATGGGAAAGCCTTCAAGGTACGATTCTCTTATCCAAGTTCCGGAAATATTAAAAAAAAAAGAAAAAGAAAGTGGTACTGAGAAGTCCTTTGAGAAGTCCAGTCTATCGTAACACTCGAAATCTCTTTTCATTATTTTTGACTTGTAAATTGGATTATTAAAGCTTCACGGGACACGGAAGTATCACAATTATTCGTCTCAATTGTCGAGGATAATAATTTTTGTACCAGGAGATGGCCGTGCTGTCGTCGACGACCGCCTGTGCCGCCATTACATCCCACACAACGTCCAACAGCAACGTGAACAGCACAGGCTTACCTGGTGGAACATCGACGGATGGGCATGGTTCTTCCTTGGCTGATAAAATTCACGGTCTCACGGAGAAGCTGCAGGCATTGGGACACCATAGAACCGAAAGTGAAGCTTCCACCAGAGCTCGCACAGGTAATTGAAATTTCATTCTCTGAAGGCTGAAGCAACTCGGCAACTTTTCACGCATTTTTATATACATATACAACATCACGTGTTTACACGTATTTATCACGTTCGGTTCGTTTGGAAAATATCGCGAGGCAAACGACAAC